TACAGCCATTACTGACTTCTCAGAATAATATTCTGAGAATGAGATACTGACTTCAGACAGAGTTGATACTGTTAATTTGTCCTAGTATTTCACCAAGTGCTGCATCATCCCGCAGTATATCAGTATGAGAAACCCCAGGAAGTTTAATCACCTTAAGGGTCTGATTTCTATTATCTGCCCATTCCAGTTCCACAGACAATAAGCTAATTATGTTCGCTGTTCCATCTCCATCTCCATAAATAATCTCAGGTTGCTCATCAAAGCCGCATTCTCCATACAACAAGGTCTCCGGTGTCTCCACACCAGTGCCAACTATGCAAGTAATGGGCACTTCAGGAGCCACAAATTTTCCCACCAAAGGCAAAATTCGCGATTTGTAAGGCTTCACTCTTTCTGGAGCTCCAATGTCTTCAAGAAATTGTTCAATATCATGTGCTGAATACGACGCATTTTGTGCGATCACAAGTGGTTTCTTCTGAGAAAATACTTTAGGAGAAGGCAAGAGCCATAGGTTACTTTCAGAACTCCTTTGCTCATTCCTGACTATCAGAGGATCAGCAAAGGGAATCCCTAGCGTATATCCAGAAGCAAAGGTGATCATCTCCTGAACTGTGCCACCCCAGGGTGCAGAGAGTGCGATGAAATGCTTGACATATTTTTGACGCCAAGAAGGTGAATTTCGGTTGAGTAGTTGAAGGACAAATAGGCCTCCTAGGCTGTGGGATAGAAGGATCACTGGCTTGCCTCCATTGGAAGAGCTTGCATTTTCTATTAGATGTTTCAGGTCACTAAGAAACTTGGAACCAACAGCTGATGGATGACCTTCTGCTGCTAAACCATAACGAAAGTCATATGGTGCTCCGAATAGATTTTCACCATCCACGTAACCTATTTGTTCCAGGGACCTCGCAAGGGGCTCCATGTATGCAGTAATGTGCCTGCCAATAAATGCAAATTCCACATGGAGCTTCAAAACCAAAGTATTTCTTGAAGTATTATCAAGGATCTTAATACATCATGATGTTGGTTAATCAACAGAGCAATCAATTTTTAATGAAACCGGAGATAGCTTGCCACCACTGTGTGGTAGTATATAGTAGAATACTCGGTGTCAGACTGCTAAACTAAAAAGGAGTCAAACAAGAAGAACTTTCAGTACTTGACAATTGTTGATGGGAAGAAATTAAGAATCGATTTCCCACAGTTACTCAAAGTCGAAGTAACATTCAAGATAATCACCTGAAAAGTAAAAGAAAACTTACTTGAGATGGGGATTAAGATAAAGGAGAGATTGAATGGAGCCAAAATTAGGAACTCTAGTCTCCACTCCAGGGGCATTATAGTAGTCATCGAGGTAAGGATCATAATATAGCATCATGCGGTCAGCAAAGCATCTAGTGAAGGGGGATAATATGATACTTAGATCGAACCACAGCCTAAACCAACCATTCTTGTCCTTCTTCAATGGATACCACCGGTTGCAAAACAAGCTTGGAGGCTTGTACTCTGCGGTTAGCCTAGCTTCTAGTTGATTGCCTCCAGTGCCGGGTACCAAGATCAAAGGGTGAAGGTGGGTTTTTGCTTGGCATAGACACAGCAGCATGGCCAATGAAAGAACAGCAAAATTCAGATAGATGCCTTTCATTTTGTTGATGAATTATGGATCAATTCCTTGCCACTTTGAGAGAGCTGGAATTGTGAGAAGGTAGATGGCATTGCCAGTGACTCTGTCGAGCCCGTGCGTTGTTGGAGAAGTTCTGTGGTGGGGAATGGGTTAACGTCTATGAAGTGGTGCCCGCTCAAGCGTACTATGGAAAAGGAAAGAAATAAAAAGCAGTAGTTCTGGTCCAAAATACTAGTATTACACGTTTGTACTTTGTAGATGGTGAAATTTTGGGCTTTGATTTAGGCGTCCAAAGCAGGCAACAAGAAGTAAAACTGTGAAGCTTTCGGCCTGAGTTGAAGCTTTTATTGTTGTTAATGTCTCCAGGGTTCTAAAGTTTGAATTAGTCTGACCCAAGCAGTAGAGGTAAAAATGGCCCTATCATAATTGGCCATATTTCTGATTTTGTTTTTCTGAAGACCTAAACATAAGTTGACAAGCACAAAAAGAAGCATTAATAACATTTTTCTTTTCAATTGGGGATGCCAAGCGTTATAAGGAAAAGGGAGGAAAGGAGAGGGTTTGAGAGTCGAGCCGAGACTTGGATACTCATGGTTGCTTGGATAATGTCCCTAATTGAATTAGGGTTTTTTAGAGAAAAATAACTTTTTGGATGAAAATGTAGCTGGAAGGGTACATTTCTAATGACATTGGGTATTGGCAAGTACCATCAAAAAGAACCCTTAAATGGACCTGCTGCATTCAGCATAACACAACACACTAAATCAAGCCCGACACCCCGACCCAACAAGTTCCTTTTGGTTGAAGCCCAACAATTAATTGGCGTTGATCATTTGGTTCAATTTTGATGATTCTTAAGATTCTTGGGTCCTTTGTCTCTTTTTCCCACCCCCTAATAACTATGAACACATTCAGAATTTGTAGAAAGAATTTATTTAGCTGAAATGGATGATGATTTCTCAAGTTTTTGCAAGGGTTGGAGCGTCTCTAGAATTAAGTAATTTTGTGTACAACCATTTACCCCATCCAAAGGTTGCAACTGATTTGAACCCTTTGGGCAATCTGTTCATCACTAATTCACTAAAAAAGTTTGCAACTTGATAAGAGCAGGCAATTATCTTTTTTTTTTTTTTTTTTTTGCAACAATAACAGTTTGTAATCTATTTTAGCATAATTTAAGGAAGAAAAAATATAATCAACGAAAATTCCTGTCCGAGGAAGCCACCCTAAAGTAACAGTCCCGTTCTTTAACTACATCGCATTTATGTCAGTCACCATCCCTTGACCTCCCACTTGGAGTTACTAAGCACATATCAAAAGTCAGCCTCAGAAGTTGGCCTCTTGGGCTAAATTCATCGATCGGGTTTGTTTGGATTCTGAATTATTAGAGATATTTTTACTGTAGCACTTTTTGTGATATGATGTATGTGAGATAAAAAGATAATTAAAAAGATGTTTTAAAAATTGTAATGATGATGTAAGTAGATATATTTTGACAAATAAATCGCGATCCAAACAAACCCGTCATTTTGTAACTATCAAGAGCGGAAGATCCTACTGGAGGCTAAATTCATCATTTTGTTTGCAATCAGAAAAAATTCCCTCCTCCTTATGTGAAACTTTTACTTTATAACAAGTGCAAACTGAAACTGGATATCATCCATTCATCTCGCAACTTGGCTCTTCTAGAACAGTGCTGCGCCCATCTCTTATTTGTTTTCAGTTTGAGAAGGCTTTCCTCTCTTCAGGTATATCGGACTGAAAATTCTCACGTCTCTTTCACATTTATTTCATTCTCCGATGTCAAAAAAGATGATAATGTTTCTGACACTCCTGGAGATGGAGATCCCCTTTGACACTAGAAATTCGAGCTGTCTATTCTGATAGTTTCTAGCGTATACATTTGTCAAATTGAACCGTCACTCGCTTTGAAATGTGTCCAATTTTACTACCACCATTTGCCAATCTTGTCGTCGACGGTTTGTTTTTGGTCGATTATTTTAATTGATTGTATATTATAATTTTAAATAATTAATTTTGAAATATTCTCAATTGCTTTTATCTTTAGATGATACATTTTTCAATAAAAAAAATTTAAAATTTATAATAACCCAAAAAGAAACTTTAATTATTCTATATAATCACCTTCTATAATTAATATCTGTTTGAATTGGTCTTTTTTTCAAAAACAAGTTTTTCAAATATAATGCTATAATAATAATACACAAATAAAAATATCTCATACATATGATATATCAAATATTTTAAAAATTATTTATAATAAAAATTTTTCATATATACTACTATTAAAGTAAATTCTTTTAAAACTACCTCAAAAATAGCTAATCTAAACGGAGCTAAATCTTTACAAAATCTAAGACAAACAAGAGCAAGGCCTGCGCGAGTCGCCGCCACCAATTTATCACAAAATTTCCTTTTTCCTTTGAACCATGAAACGCTTGTAACTAGACGAGCAATTAAATGCTTCGCTTCTCTGAAAAAAAAATATCACGGATCCAATAATGCGCTTATTTGGCTTGGAAGGTCTAATATTCAGACCTTTTACATAGTTCAATTGGACTACGTTTATAGATTATAGTACGCAATATTTTTGTTTCGTTTCTAATTTTGCTTATGCAAGATGCTTTTTGTAACACGTCAAGGGACCAGCGTCCAATGCTCTTCCAAATAATGCAGGTGGCACTTATCTGGTCTACGCCGGTGGCAGCGGCGCCCATTGAACTAATAAAGATGAACCATTTTTATTTCTTTCTTAAACTACTAAGAGCAACAGCAGCGCGCGCCGTGTCGTGGAGATTACACGCATATGATGCGTGTATAATCCATTAGAAAGTGAGATCAATGATCAAATGTAAAATAATTCTAATCATCAACGGTTACATCCAATTTTTGCTTCAATAATAAATTTGTCAGCACACAACACATTTTAGCTTTTCAATGGTTATATCCAACGATTAGATTTTAACCTTCTATATAAACACATAACACTTTTTTTAAAACATATCCCACTAAATTTAATGTAAAAAATTTAATAAAAGTTAGTACTTTATTTTTTAAAAATTACAAAATTAATTTTAAAAATTGCTTTATTTATTTATGAGATATGAGTTATGCATTATTAAAATAAATATTTGATTTAATTGTAGACCCGTGCTATTACACCTTATGGAGTGTAATCCATTGTAAGTGAACGTGTAATAAAAGAGGAGAAAGTGGAATGCTGATGTGGCATGTGGATTACACTTCACAAGGTGTAATAGCATTGTGGATGCTCTAATTGCAACTATTAGTTCACCATCATTTCACAATACATTTTTTTGCATTAATAAATTACAATTTTGTTAAAAATGTTTGCATCCATGATTTTTCACCACGACACCATCTTTAGATTGCTACTTTCTAAGAAAATTTGTAAACATATTTTTCTATTTTACCTGCATCAATTCATTACAAAATATTTTTCTATAAAAACTTCGGAAAATAGTAGCAATCAGATAAGCCTTGTACCTACTCTACTCATCGCCTGTTGTATGGCAGTGGCTCCCATGGATGTTTTAGCGGATACTGTGGTCCGGATTTCACTGGTTGGCAAACTAATAACATGTGAATTCAACACCGGCAAAGTGCAGAAACTTTGATTGCCTCCTCATTAAACCATTGGCTGTCTGAAAATTGATTTGAGCCATGAGGTAATGCTGTGGCTGAATCAGCAATCCTAATCAAATACTGCCCACTTGTTTGAGTATTTCTCCAAACTTCCAAGAGAAAGCAAAAGCAATTAGTCGCTACGTATTACAAATGGAGACACAAAAAGTCAAATGTTGAAAAAACTCACTCTTGCATTTCTTGACTTTTAAATTTGGCCTACCTTCATTATTATTGTTTAGCTCACCTAAAATAAATCCCTTTTCCTGCAAAATTCAATATCTGATAATTGAGCAAATTGATGACAACTGATGATATTGATACATGACCACAAAAAAAAAAACCCCACAACATTGACATACGTGTGATTAATTATTACTTTCGTAATGCTTGTAACAATACGGGATGTCTACACATTTTTTAATTATGTGTTAAGCTAAGCTAATTAACATTGACATCCGATTAGTCAAGATCAACTAATTAAGCTAATGAATAAAGATCTTGTATATTATTCTACTCAATGCGAATAAATTTTGAGACGGGAGCACTTGTTCCTCGTAATCACATCCAAAACCCATGTTCTTTAACGCCAAGCACTTCGAATTTAACTGAGAAAACGGGGACTGTAATTGAATTGACCACTGATTTTTCTTTTTTTCTTTCGTAGATGCATGATTAGTATATATACACGGTGGCAGCCCTGGACTTGTAGTAGCGCAGTCCTTTGATCCATCGTTCCATTGATTAATTGTCTATTTTTTCTTCTTACCTCAATGCATGTTGTCTTCTCCAATGGCGTGCTATGAAAAGGTCCACCCGCGTTTGTTGATCTTTTAGTTAACCATGTCATGCCAAGTCGTCGGGTCCTCATTAGCTGAAATGTCAAGTTGCCAACCCATTAGTCCACCGTCCACACTACAATAACAGCCTCGCTGCTACTTTCTACGCTAACTCTTATAATGCATAGATAGATAGATTTCTAAGCTTCCTCCCTTATCCTCCATTGGCTATATATTCTCTATCCCAAATTCCAAATTATCCTTCCAAACGCTATGTCTAAAACCATAAGACCAATCCCACATACTCTCTAAAACTTTGAGTAGTGCTTTCTAGATCTCTTCTTCCACAATTTTCTTTCACAAGGAAAAAAAAAAAAAAGAGCGCAGGCGGTTGAGTTCTTCTCATTTCTCAAATATCATCCAGCAAGAAGGCAATCTTCTCTCCTTGATCATTTTCCAAGTATTGCATTAGAGAAAAACAAAAAAAAAGGAAAGGAAGAAAGAAAGCCTCCATTTCTTTTTCATAGTGTGTGAACTGCGTGTCATATTGTGCGTCAGAAAAAATGAGGAGCAAAGCAAGACAACAGAACAGATTCTTGAGGATCATCACATATCCAGCCAGGGCTTTAGGAAAAGCAAGGGATTTTTACGTGAGAAGCATTACAAGTTGCAGTGATAATTTCGGCCACGGAACCCTTGTCATGGGCATGCCCTCATCAAACTACTCGGCGAGTTTGCCAAGGAGTTATAGTGCTAATTCATCAGCGTCGACTGATGTTAACGATGATTTAAGAGAGCTGATTAGAGCTGCTTCAACGAGGACTTCATCCGATAATATTGACATCAATTGCTTGTACCTGCAACAACTAATTATGAAGCAGCAAATGTCAAACTCGGTCGCTGGACCAAAAAGTATGCCACTAAGAAGTTGCAGTGTCGGCATGGGAAAGATTGATGAAGAAAACCCTTCTGTTTTTGCATCTGAAGACAGCGCGAATAATATGAAGCCAAAAGACGCGTATCCAAGAAGCAGAAGCCATGCTGTTAATAGGAGGAGTGTTGTCTTCTGATCCTGATCATTTTCCTCTAGGAAAGTGGTACGAATGAGAGCGATGGAAAGTTTCATTCTTCATTCGTTTTGGATTTTGATTCATCTGAAACAATCTCTCTTATTCTCCTTTTGTTTTTCTTTCTCTGTCTCTCCTTTTTTATACTCTGTTTCTTTCAGGCTTGGTTGTTTGTACAGGAAAGGCTTCATCTCTAAATTGCCAAGTTTCTCTCATCCTTAATGGATGAAGATTGTTAATTGTTTTTTCTTTTTAATTTATTTTCTGCTTTAACATGTATGGTCGGTCGAAAAAACAAAGGACATGTATGCAGCAGTTTGGTAGCTGGATTAGTCTCAAAACTCAAAAGTAGTTCGTGCCAATCCTGGTCTGCAGTTCCTGAATTTTTTTTTGCATTTGTGGTACTTTTTAAAAAGTTTGGAAGTGGGTGAGTCATTTATTGCATGGTTATGGATCAGTTTTTGAAGATTTTTCTTTAGGCAAAAGAAAATAACCTTTCATTCATAACAAATATGCATCTACAGCATACAAAGTTGTTAAACCAAACCCTGATAAGGATGGTTTTGATGTGATAAGGCCTGACACATCACTACATCATCTAACAAATGATTAATTTCCACTAAGTCTTACTCTTTTATCAACGGTTTGATTTTTTTTTTTTATTTTAGTCACCTAATCTCACTAATGTTTATCCACTCACACACTTGAGTAGATCCGATGTTTAAAGATATAATAGACATTGTTTAGACAGTCATTTTTCATCAAAAAATTACGTCATTTTATGATCACGTTTCTCTATTATTTTTTTTTCTCGTTACAACAATTTTTCTACAAAAAAATTCAAGAAAATATAATCAAAACAAGGCCTTAAATGATCTAGATTATGTCATACCAAATGGCGCATCACCAAATGGCGCGGCACAATCTCAACTGTTGAATTTATAAAGATTGGATCAGACCCAAGTTTTGGCCATGATTATCTGCCACATATCGAGCTTGTTCCAGTTTTGGCACTCCTCGTTTATTTGCAGCTCAATATTCACATCGAGATTATAGAAGTCATATCTGAATATCATCGTTGTACATCATGACCATGGAAAAATCTATATCTATATAAATTTGAGAAGGTATTTTTAGAAACAAGCCTTCACAATCCTTCCCACTCTCAACTCTATTTTTATAGCATTTTACATTTAATTTATTTCGTAAAAAACATCATGAGCACATTACACCACCACGTTTTTCTCAAACAAGAAGTTAACTCCAACTAAACATTCCCACGTTCCCTCAAACAAGAAGTTAATTCCAACTAACTCTCCTCACACATCTTCCCACTACAATTAAACCTCTTCCAATCCAATTTCATGAGAAGATTGAGTAAGATCTCTTTCCACTTGCTGTTGGTATCCTTATTAGCCCACGCGTGTCAGATGGTCGTCATGCCACTACTAATTCCCATAAAGGTAATTCAATTTATTTTCACTTTATTTTATTTAATTTTTATAGTTTATCAATAAATATAGCACATTGTGCAGGACCGTCACTTTATACTATTCGAGCAAGCAAATTGTATGTCAATTACTATTTGGATTTTGCTCAATACCTACACAGTTGGTAAGTTTTACAAATACCAAAATATTAAATTATTAATAATATTTCATACTCTTGCGAATATATATTTGAAAAATTTGCAGGTTTGAGAATGATAAATGTGCTCAGAAATTAGTGACGTGGTTGCGGTCATGCAGCTTTATAATGTCCCAAGCATTATTGATATCAAATGCTAAAAACATATTGATATTTAAATATGCAGTTATACCTACGGTACAATTCCTCTCAATTAATTAAGTAATGAACAAGTATCTATATGTAGTTTCGAATTAATAATTGTAATCTAAACATTCTTTGGATTGTTTTAGATTAAATATTTTCGGATACTTGCTTATATTCAAAGCATCAACATAGACAATATGTTCCATGAGTTATGCAAAAATTTTGGACAACCATGTCAATCTCATTTTGCAAAAATGGTGTGTATCCATTGTAATGACGTAGTCGACACTATTGTCAGGTAATTATTTTCATATATTTTGAATTTTAATATAATTTTTTACATCATACATCACAATTTCTTTTTAACAGATACAATGTTAATATAGAAGTTAAAGATTTCAGTGGTAACCTATACCTCGCTCTTCAAGACAGACATGCACGATTCATGTTTTGTTGTGATGCTTTTTATCTTAGAGATTTAAAAACAAAGGTATACATTATTTATATGTATATATTTTTATACAATATTATTTACAAACTATCTAAAACAAAAGATAATTTTGAATTATGTATGCTTTTAATTGTCAGGAAAATGGAGGTGCATTGTTCGACCAACACATTAATTCATGCAAAAATCATGCATTCTCATTTATAGTACGAACTCCACAAAAATCAACAGAATTAATTAAATCCCCAATACTGGCATTCGTACTCAGAGTTGATTGGTGTGAAAAATATTCACGCCTTCGTAGAAGATTATCAAATTGAAGGCAAAATGTTTGTAAGTATTTCATTTATTTATCAAATTAAATATTTAATTATATTTAATTGGACCCTTATGTCGCTCAATTTATGATATGAATTTCTATTTTTTTCAGGATCCAACCTTTATCAAAGTGATAGTTTATAAATAATAGAGATGTTTTTATTATATATTGAATTATTTTTACAAAGTTTCATTTTTTAAAATATACTTTCATGTGCCCGTGATTATAACATTTTACTATTTTTAAATTCCCCTATAGATTGTAATTTTTTTCAAAAATGTAATCTACTGTGCGTAGCACGGGTATTTATACTAGTAAAAAATAAAACACGAACAATAATATCTCGTGAAGACTTAAAAAAGAGGCAGATTGATAAATTATTATGCACCAAAACTGAAAATGGATAGAGATGCAAACAAGGTGGGGTACGCATGTAGCATGAAAATGTTGAATGGAATTCCGTAATATTTGCTAAAAAACAAAAAAAAAATGAATACTACAACGGCAAACATTTGAAAGTCATAAACTAATTCAATAATCAAGACGCAAGCGGAGCAGGTCTTTTGTCAACTTCCTGTACGTTGATTTGACATTCAAACCTAAACAATTAATAATGCCTCGTCAATTTTATTTGCTGGAAAATATGCACAGGCGCTTACCCTTGAATATTATGATCAAAGTTGGAGTAATTTTCTTGTCCGCGTTTACTCTATCAAAGTTGGAGCAATTCGCGGCAACCACATTGAAGACTTTTTATTATATACGAAGAAGAAAAGGATAATTTCATTATAATATCAAACACAACAGTACAACACATATATGTAGATCTGAAAATCTCGACTGGTACAATAAATTTAAAAAATAATAAACTTGGTCATAATGTTGAAAACTCATGATAATATATATTTTCTTTTCAATTTAACCCGCCTGTCCTCGTCGATCAATCATTTTTCATGAAACTGTTGAAGCGAGGAATAAAAAAATTCATCCGCCGCGAGTTTGTTTGGACAACTTTGATTTCAAATAAAAAAAATTTTAATTCACAAGTTTCAACCACCTTTTTATCTTCTTAATCACCTTTTTATCTCACATACATCACATCACAAAAAGTGTTACAGGAATTATCTCAAATAAATCATCCAAATAAACTCTTATCCAAACAAACTATTGTCGATCTCAATATTCCACTCTTCGTCCGTCTCATAAATCGTATAATAATGACAAAAACATCTTCTTTGAAATGCTCAACAGACACTAAGCAAAAAGCCTGGCTGCTAATTAGTTGCGTGTAGACATTTCTGGTGATTCCGTTAATGTGAGACGACTTCCAGTTCAAGGTAGTTAAAGAACAATTTTCAGAGAGTTTGGATGCAACTCGCAGCTGAATAATTGTCCAGTACCCATAAAAGAAAGGTTAGCTTCATTTAGGCTCCATGGTTCCCTTAACAGATAAGAAAGATGATGGGGCATGGGGTACGTTGAGATACTGACACTGATTATCATAATGGATTGTTTGTCAAGATAATGCTTGTACAGTTGCACTCAACTTGCCCTCACGGCCTTCCAATCATCTTAATTATTATGGTATATATAGATGCATTTCTAATCTTGTAAAAGCAGCAAAGACCACGAATTTATTCTCTCTTTTTTTTTTTTCCCTAACTTGGAGTTTTTATTTTTTTTTTAAAGATTTGGATGAATTCAACGTCAATCATCACTATAGATCAAAATATGCTTTCGAGACGTTATAAATCTCCTCTTACATTAACAGTGAAATTCGAACATATGATTGTTTACCAGAAAGTAGAGGTGCCAAAATAGGTTATTTGGGCGGGTTTGGGTTGGGTAAAATAGATAATGGGTATAAGTGAGTCAACCTATTTATACCCATTTAATTAGATGGGTATAAATGGGTAAGTCAAAAAATGAATTCGACAACCCATTTATAACCCATTTATTTTAAATTTTTGTAAACTCATTTAAATTCATTTTTGCAAACTAACTTATCAATTTATACTGCTCTTTGTACCAATCATTAGTTTTAAATATTTACTTATAATACTCAATAAGCCTAATTACCAATATTTTTTCCATTTATACTCTATGTCACAAAATTACATATTATTTAATAATTGAATAATAAGAATATAAAATTTTGAACTAAGTACTGTAAAAGTTAATATAAAAACTTAATCCAAAAATTTTGAACCCCTAGCATTTTTTTCATATATAAATTTAAATTTTCATTTTAGAAAGATAAGAAAAGAGGTTAAAACTTATCATAAATTGGTAATGTTGAAAAATGAGCAAGTTAACAAACTAAGAGAAAATAAAGTAATAAGATAAAACTAACAAATAATAATAATAATGAAACAAAAGTAGTTAACATTATGACAAAATGAAAAATCTGAAAAAAAAAATGGATGGAGGAAGAGAATCTAAATGGGTTAATTAGATTTGATGGGTTATCTAATAATACCCATTTAATGGGTTAATTAGATTTGATGGGTTATCATTATATATTAATTTTTTTAAAAATATTAAGCATATCTTCTTTAAAATTTTTAGTATATATATTTATTATTCTGTACCATAATATATAAATATATACAATATCATTTTGATTTGAAATATAATCCCGTGCATAGCACGGGTCAAAACACTAGTATACAAAAATTTGAGATACTCATACCAATTTATTCATGGGCGGATATGGATAAATTTAACTAAGTGGGTTGGTTTGCCACCTATACAAGAAAGTGGTCGTATTTACTAATTCACCCAACTCGTGTTGGCTGCGTAGTGGTCCCTTGGCCTTTGCAGGTTTTTCTTAATTAATTGTGGCATTAAATACTCGGTAGAATAGATGTGACTCACCACAGCTGAGAGACAGAGAGAGGGATGACAGGATAAGGACAAAGAAAGGAGAAGGAGTGGTACAGGAATTACCATTCAAAGGGCTTACACTTACGTAATCTACTACTACACTAGATCAATGACTATATAGACCAATGATTGTATTAAAAAAAAAAAAAAAAAGTTTCGGTCATTCCAACCTCATTGTGTTGAACACGATATACAATACCATAATATAAAAGTTTCTAATAATTTAAATGTCAAAATTACCCAAGGCATAGGTAATGAACATTTTACATTATTATTATTCTGTTGTGTCTTTTTGCACTCTTGACTAGAAAGTTTTAGAACTTCAAAACATGATGCAATCCAACCTGGTTTAAAATTGTATAAAACTCCACCTAAACTAAAGAACGTTGATTAAATTAAAATACACGAGGCAACTCCAAGAACACTAATTTATTCAAGAACTAGTAAATAGTTAATCCTCATGTTATGCTATTCATGAAATTTCTCCATTATTAGTGGTACAATAACTAATTTAGGGGAAAAGTAAGCAATTGAAAATCCATTTTTCATCAAAAAATTTCTACGTTTTTCGTAAATATATTTTTTTCAATCACTTATTTACTTCGCATATATTAAATTGTTACGGTATATTTGTTTTTACAAAAATTTCAGAAAATTGTAATCCAAACAAGAGCAGTAGAATATGCTGGTTTTTTTTTCCTCCGGCAACAAAAGATAATTAGAATTTATAGTAGCATTAGTTTTCAAATCAAATTTGACATTATTGTCTTAAATTTTGAAATTCTCTGTGAGCATAGATGGATGAAGATTTTGGACCCTGGTGCCAAATTGACATCCACGACCATTCTTCTTGCCCGACCACCTGTCTTATCCATTGTAGTGGCCTACAAAAAATGGAATAGGCTTCGAAGAAGAAAATTGAATTTTATAATCTACCATCCAACAAATTATCAAAATTAATTTCTTTCCAAATCTTTCATTTTATAATCAATTTTTGAGCTCAGCAGCAAATACTATAAAAACGCTTTTTCATTCACTTCCCCGATATTCCTCCCAATACGATCTTATCTCTTGGGGAAATTCTTTCAAGATAAAAAAAAAACCGCGCGAGACTTAAAATCCAAAAGTACCCTTGGAAGTTTCTGGAAACTACGTCTTCCACCCTCCGCTTTCCACAGGCTCCACTAGCTCCACCTCCTTGGTTCCTCTCTGATCATTCATGTCAGAAAGGAAGATAAACAGAAACGAAAGAAATAATGGATTAATTCCCGCTAATTGCAAGAAAAAAAAACCGTAATTAAATAAGCATATAAAAAAATGGTCGAATTTTCGAAACTTAACGCGGCAGATTTCGTAGGCGAAGACGACGAGCTAGACGAAGAACCAGGCGAGGTCATCGAGTCGGCGCCACCTCTCCAAGTCGGCGAGGAGAGAGAAATCAATTCCTTAGGTCTTACAAAGAAGCTCCTAAAACGGGGCATTGGTTGGGAGACCCCTGAATTTGGGGATGAAGTCACTGGTATTACTTATCCAAATTTACCTTTTTCGTGAAATGTAACGTTCTCGTCAATCGTCATCTTCATTTTCGTGAATTAATTGTTTGTAATTTGCTTAAACTATATATATTTGGGTGATTGTAGTTCATTACGTGGGTAAGCTTGCTGATGGCGCGGAGTTTGTATCAACGAGGGACAGAGACAAACCTTTAATTTTTAATCTTGGACAAGGTAATTTTTGGGTGTTTATGTTGTTTATTGCTTCTAATATTGGATTTGCATTTTTTGCTTTGCAGTTTAATTCCTTAATGAGTTGTAAATAGAAGGGTATAAGCGAGCCTAATGTGGTAGAACAACACAGTGTTTGAGCTTAGTTCGATTGTCTTAACAAGTTTAAGATTGCTTTTCATTTGGTTTGATTATTATTTGAGACGAGCTCATACAAGCTTTTATCCAAACCATAGCTTGAGCCTCGATTAGCTTGAGTGATTTGTGTGGGGAAAAATTGTACTTAACGCTGAATCTTAATGGGCTTGGTTTGATTAATTGACAAACAACCCATATTGAATCAGCTCTACTTGGAACGAGCTTGAGTAGCTTGTTTCACTTTCAGTCCTTGTAAAGTTTTGCTTCTATATATGCTTATTCAGTTTCCTGGTTTTGAAGGTTGTTCTAATGCATTTTTGGGTTAATTAGGCCAAGTGATTTCGGGACTAAATCATGGGATTATCACGATGACGAAAGGAGAAGCAGCATTGTTCAGAATGCCTTCAGAGTTGGCATATGGAGTGGAGGGCATGGATGGTGTTCCACCAAATTCTTCTGTTCAGTTTGAAGTAGAACTCATCTCGTGGATCACCGTGGTCGATGTTTGCAAGGATGGAGGAATTATTAAAAAAATAATTGAGAAGGGGGAAATGATGGGACCTCCTGGAGAATTGGATGAAGTTCGAGGTAAAAAATATGTATATTTAGAAATGTTATCTCGTGATAGCAAGCTCATCTTGCAGTCAGTTTCTTTTCTGTCTGCACTGATCTTTGTATCATCCATGAGCTGCCCACTGCATTCTGTTCTCTTTGTGGAGAAATGGTGTAATATGCTAATTTTTCTTGCAGTAAAGTATACTGCAACAATAGATGATGGTGCCATTGTTGCAAAAACTCCTGAAGACGGACTGGAGTTCTATGTTAAAGAGGGTAATTTTAAGACACTTATGGACATTTATTAATAGTTTTTTTCCCACCAAAGCAGCATGTCTTGGAAACATAATATAGTTGCTTCTTTCAGGTCACCTTTGTCCTGCATTACCAAAAGCAGTCAAAACCATGAAGAAGCGGGAGAAAGTAAATTTAGTTGTTCAGCCTCACTGTAGGTCTTCCCCCAATCTTTTCCGTTACTTGACTTTCTTGTTTGTTTGGTGCATTACTTGGCACTATGATTGCAGATTTCCTTTTTTTTTTTTTTTTGAATTCAAGGAATCACTGAGTTGTTTCTTTCTCATATTTTTAGAATGATTAATTTAATGAGTTACTGGCAAAGATAAACTTTATACATCTTATTGGCTAACATATCATCAGTATAGAAAACAAAGAAACTCTCTTGAATTTTTGTGCTTTAAGCACTACTTATCATCATTGAGTTTCTATTATAGCAAGGAAATTTGTGGAAGATCTTCCTTCTGTGGATTAATGAAGAAGTGGTATTGGAATTTGTAATCTGGCTTTTACTTAACATTGTTGTAGATGCCTTCGGAGATGATAAAAAGGATTCCAATACTAGCTTTCGTTCCTTCCCTCAGAGTTCTGTTCTGAGGATTGATTTGGAGTTGGTGTCCTTCAAGCCTGTAGTGGATGTCACTGGTGATTCGAAAGTTCTGAAGAAAATTTTGAAAGAGGGGGAAGGTTTTGTCACTGCAGATGAAGGTGCTTCTGTTACTGGTAAGTGGATTGTCCATGTTGCCTTTGCCCTTTATACAATGAGACAGTTAATGCTATGCAGCAAGAATTAGGTTATTGAGAGCTGAGGCTTAGACATTTGGCTAAATTATGGAACTTAAAAGCTGCACTCATTGTGGAATGCCATTTTGATGTTGAGGTATGAATTAAGCACCTAGAACAGAGGATGGTGGTTCATATTGAGATTTTGGTTGAGCATTGGTTCTAAGAACTATCTAGAGATGACTTTTCTAGAAAGACTAGCAAATTACTGATGCTAAATTATGTAAATGTTCTTATGTCTTGATATAGTAACTGGTGACTAAGATTGATCAGCTGGATACTTACCTGAACTAACTAGTTTGGAAATCACTAAATCATCAAGAAAGTTCTTTTTTGGTACAAAGGGTCAGCTTGCTATTATGTATAATGTATCTCTACACTATGCTTTGAAAGTGGTTTGTCTTCTCTAAAGAGAAAATTGCTTCTGTATCAAAATGCGCTAAGCTTTGAGCTGTGTTAGTGAGAATTGTCAGGGGTACCAAAGTTGGTTGAATGTTTTTCACTTCTCGAATTTGATATGATCCAGTATAAACTCAATCTGTCTCAAATAAATGCCAATCTTCATATCTGCGAACCAATCTAGCCAAAGGATACTATACTGTTTAATTTCTGATTTGACTCTGAACTCATCTCAAGGTGGTTCTTGAAAATTCGCGCTTCATTGCTTTGTTTTATTCCTTGTCAAATATATTGTTTGCTTGACTATCCTTTTGGTGAATGGATGATTTGAGTAGTGATTTTCCATTTTCTTTCTTTTGCTTCATTCCATTCACTCTTTCATCTTATTGTGACTTCAGAATCCTTTATTCTTGAATTTTTTTTACTATGGATAGTAATATTGTTGTGGTGTCTGTTAGGATGACAGTCGTGTCTGATTCTTCCGATTTTTTTGCATACTGTAGTAAATAAGTAAATTATTGCGTTAAGCAGCTAATAATTTTCTTCTATTAGATATCTTAAATTGTTTTATGTATTCCCATAACTATGCAGTTAGGTATACTGCTATGCTGGAGGATGGTACTGTGTTTGACAAAAGAGGTCTTGATGGAACGGATGCAATGGAGTTTGTTACAGATGAGGGTAAGTGGGTTGGTATTATCCCCTCGTTCTTGCACCTTGGTTATGTATTTTATGATTCTGACTAAACATTCATGTGGACCTGGATAGAAGTCATGATGAATATGGGCCACAGATATGTCTTAGATTTTCCTTTTTATCCCAGTAGCTATAGTGTTGGATCAATCACGATGGAAGTGCTTTTGTATTTAAGCCAGATCCTTTAGAGTTTGTATGTTGTTTGATCAAATTCTTTGTTTAGTTTGTATGTTGTTTGATCAAATTCTTTGTTTAGCATCTAAAGTGGCCATAATATGGATAAATTGGTTTTTGGTTCTGAAAGAGTAAATGCAAGCTTTATTAGTCAAGTGTCCTATTCATCAGTAAGAACAAGACAAGACTTCAATGGCCTATTTCTACATTTTCACAGAACAAGTGATTGCTGGGTTAGATCGAGCAGTGATGACAATGAAGAAGGGTGAGCATGGGCTGCTGACAATAAAACCTGAATATGGATTTGGAAATGCTGAAGTGAAGCAGGATCTTGCAATAATTCCTCCAATCTCTACCATACTCTATGAAGTTGAAATATTAGATTTCATAAAGGTAATATTTCACATGGAAGTCAGTGATCTCTGAAGATGTTATCAATTCAGAAGTACATTACTAATTATTGCCATTTTAATGTTGTCTGGTCTTGTTCTGGAAAGGAATTAGGGACTTGCTCTTCTTATTCAGTTTGCCCAAAAAGCCATAGTTTTGCTGTAGCTTTCAGATTAAGTAACAGAGCTTAAACTGATTGCATTTGGTAGTGGTTTTAATGTGACTGATAAGATTTTCATCGTGGTCTAAATTAACATATTACTGGCTTTTTGTTTTCTTGCTTTTCTAGTGTTTAAATGTCCTTTTCTGTCTGCACATCCTGTTAGTTTATTTTTCCTTCTGAACCAGAAATAAACATTTTTATGATCTCATTAAAGCTGTCACTTTGGCATAATTCAGGTAAGCCCACTGTGTGTCTTCATTGCTGAAAGAAGCATGTAATTAAACTTTAAAATGACATCTAAAAGAGGTCCTATCTTATATGCAGCTATTGAATGTGTTCCTGGCCATGGTTCTCTACATCCTAGTAATTGGAATTTTATAGAAGATAAACGCCAATTTTTTCGTTCTTTTTCTTTTCTTCCTAGGCAAGCACCAAATGTTGTGGTCTTAACCAAACATTTGACTCATTATGGTTCACAATTTTTTTTAGTTAATTTTCTTTTATATAGGATAACCATTTATGACTGACACTTGTCAAGATTAATGAGCTTCATGTCATCAAACAACATTTCCTACTTGACTGAAAGTGTTCTGTAAAGTCATCAAATGCCTGATCTCTACTGCCTGGTCCTGTCCTCTCATGTTCTTTTAACTTTTGAAATCCTCCCCTTGGACTTGCTTTGCTAAGTTTGTGTGTGCATTTTTCTTCTTTTTGTAAATAGTGTACAGAATAGTCTGGCCTTATGTACATAGAGTTTCTATCCCCTTATGTGTAAGCTGTTTTGCTCATCTTCAATAAAAGTTGTTTCAATATGCCCAAAAAAAAAGAACTTTTGAAATCCCTGTTATACTTGAAGTACAAAGGCTGAGAAAGAATGTAGGAGGAGAAACAAATATTTTGGGAACTCAGCTGGTAGATCATCATTGGAGTAGCCCTTATCAGACGGGTTTAATGATCTGGCTAGTTTCTTGAAAAATTGAGCAATTGAAAAAACCTTGTTCGTTTGCACCTTACCACCATTCAACAGTATTTAGACCACCCCTTTCCCTCTACGTTTCTTTATTTTTCTAACTGAGGTCTTCCTAAAAAGCATGGTACTGTAGTGGGATAGGATTAGTCTAAGCTGTTGTTATGGTTTTGGTTCCAAATTTAGATGTAGTGACTTTATATTGAAATCCAATTTGCTTTAAGAGCTACACTATTATTTGAGGACCATGCTTATGTTTTGCAGTAGATAGCATTTGACGTGAAATGCATTTCTTAAGTTCATTTTAAATTCTAAATGACATTCTGTTCTGCCTGAAGATTTATGATGAATCTCATATTCATGCATCTTCCTCTTCATTTTTGGAGAACAAAGGAGAAGGCGCCATGGGAAATGAATGATCAGGAGAAGATAGAGGCCTGTAAGAGGAAAAAAGTTGAAGGCAATTTACTCTTTAAAAATGGAAAGTACCGTAGAGCTGGAAAGAAATATGATAAGGTGTCTTGGTGAATGATTTCTCTTTCAGGAATGTGAATGTTACTTGGCCTTTCTCTGTGAAACTTCAAATCACATGCTTTGTTTTTCACTTCCAGGCTTTGGACTTTGTCAGTGGAGATATACCATTTGGTGATGATGATCTAAAGCTGGTCGAGTCATTAAGAGTCTCATGTTGGTTGAATACTGCTGCTTGTTGTCTCAAACTACTTGACTTCCACAGAGCTGTAAATTTATGCTCAAAGGTGAAGTAAATGAGGCAAAAGGCACCTGTTTTCTTTTATGTCATTATTTTCTTTTTCATATCTCCTGCCAAGTTCCTGCGTATGAACAATGAAACAGCATTTTATGGGTGTTAATCAAGATAGGAACAAATAGCTCTAATCCTTTAACTCATCCAGCAGTTAAATTTTGTGGAAACTATGGATGAAATGATTTGGGTATTATGTATGAGTTCTCATGGTTCCTTTTCTTATTGAGAATATGTGCAGATAAATGCATATATCTGCCTTCTACGGTACAGTTATTTTCTTTTCTTTTTTGTGGCAATAGAATGAAACATTAGTTTGTTAAAGGGTGTGCATACAAAATATTAACTATTATTGGTAATTAATTAGGTCCTTGATGTTGAGTCCTCCAATGTGAAAGCTTTATACAGGCGAGCTCAGGCTTATATGGAAACCGCTGATTTACACTTGGCTGAATTGGACATCAAGAAAGCGCTGGAAACTGAACCTCAGAACAGGTATACCTGTTTTTGCCTGTTGGCTAGAAAACCTGTCCATTTTTGGATTGTTACCTTGTGTAACTTAATCTCTGTGTCATCTGTTTTACTAACAAACCTGGTTTGATGAGTTCATCGATTCAAATATTTATTCTGCAATTTTCTGATTAACTTTTACTCCTTTTTCGGTAATACTTTTATTCTCAGGGAAGTGAAGCTGCTACAGAAGAGTTTGAAACAACTGCGAGCTGAGAGCAACAAGAGTGACGCACAAATCTATACAACCATGTTTTCCCGCATGACAAAGGATGGATCTACAGCAACAAAGGTTAGTTCTTGCTGCCTGCCTCTAGTTCAACTTATTACTTGCACAGGATGCAGGTGACTCGTGTTTTAATCCTCTTCAATTTGCTTGAACCTAGACAAGAAAGAGGGAGGAAGAAGTAGATAATTGCAGGACCCAGACAAAGGGGGCTGGTGTGAGAGGGATGAGAATGAAAGGACAAAATGAAAGAAACCTATTCGGAATGAATTTCATTTTACAGGTGTCAAGTTACACCCCCCCCACAGAAAAAAAAAAAGTACACATAAATATAATAGCATAGTGTGATGGCTAAATTGATAGTCATGTTAATCCTAAAAATGCGCAAAAGATAATTATTGTTTGGTTTGAAGGTAAAGAGGCTGAAAACTCGAGAAGTGGAAGGCCTCCAGAAAATAAAAGATTATACAAGCTTAGGGACACTCATTTTTTTGGTTGCAGTTGGCTACAGGCTAAATGTTGTATTTTTCTTGGTTTTCAGCGATTGAAAATTGACAATGTGGAGAACAACAATAAGCCATTGGAGGAGGTCATAGCAATGGAATTGGAAAAGACTGCTGTGAGTTCACAGCCTCCTGAGGAGGGAGTGGCGGTTGATTCTTCTTGAATTGTATGCTCATGCGAACTTTCTTTGTTAAACCACGGAGGACGTACAGCTAGGTGAAGATGAGTAGACTTCTAGGATTGTGAGTTGCCTTTTGCTACATAAATTCTATACCTTTGAGTACCTCTGAACCATGATGTATTGCTGATGAGAAATTCGCCGCATGTTACAGAAACGTCTTCACTGTTTAGAGAACTTGTGCTGGATCTGACGGATATTAACTTCTATTCCTTGTTTACTTCGTGCTTGCAAGTTCATGAGCTCACATTATAGGCCAAAATAGTTTCCTTCCTAAAAATTTCGAAAGGCAGGTGGAAGCAATTTAAGAAAATCAAATCACGCCTGAATGTGTCATGTTATTCAAGCACAATGTACAGAGCAATGTGGCATTTCAGGTGTGGTAATGCACAGGCAGGTTAATTATATAATAGTGAACCCTATGAAGTTATGATGGAGTTGCACTTTGCCTGTGATAATTTTTCAATTTAGGCACTTTGGCCCCGTTTCAAGTTTTTTGATCAAAAACTCTTGATCTATAGTAAATATTCTGTACTCTTGACTCATTTTTCATTCTTCCATTTCTTTTTCTTTTTCGTTGCACATCCATTTTATTTCTACCCGCTTTACTTTTTTTTTTTTCCAATGCATTTTCTCTCCACTAAATTTTCATTTTGTCTCCACGCAACTTATTTCCTTATTTCCTTTATCCATCTCTTAAAAATTTATTGAAAATCAAATTTTAGCAGCATTTAAAAATCATATCTACTTAAGTGTACGAGTCTATCAATTAGTTCAATATATATATATATATATATATATATATATATATATATATATATATATATATAGCTAATTGGTTTGGAGAAGAGAGTGTAAGTGAAAGGTTTTGGATTCGATCCCTCCTATTTATACTAAAAAAATGTTAAAAAAATGAATTGGAATATTATAAAAATTCTCACGGAGTATTTTGTTTATATGAGTGAGAGCACAAACTTGTAAAAATTGGAGGTAAAGGCAAAGAAAAATTAAAGTAATTCAGCACCTAAACTAAATTGGCCAAGATGAGGGAGTTTTGTGAAGAACAAAAGGAAACAATAATAAAAAAGAAAATATAACAAAGTAAGGAAAGGATTTGATATGTTTTAGAGGTTTCTAATACAAGCATAACCACGAGATGAGAAATATAAAATTCAACTACTAATTCGCTTCAACTCAATATTTTTACATCAAGATCGATAAATGAACTAAATAAGTTTTCGATTTATTGATCAATCGATTTAAGCAAACACGACAGACTTTTAACTTTTTTAAATTTATTTGATTGTAAAAAAAAAATAATACTGAATTTAATAAAATTAGTACTCAACTAGTACGGACATCCCGACTGGTAAATTAACCATATATTCTTAGTTAGTTCATTAATGTTTTTAAGTAACACTTTATTTCCATTTTTTGTTTCAAATAGCATTATAAATGACATAATTTACTCTTTTGTTTATATGACAAAATTTTAGATAGATGTTAATCAATGGGAGGTTGTATGCCTATTAATTTTAAACAATAAATTTTACTTTTAGTCCTTAGTTTTCAGTAAGAAAAATAAGCAAACCGACCTTTATTTTTCGACGAGAAAATTGTGCTCTTTTGACTCTTTCTTCTGATTTTACCTCAAAATATTTTGGAATTTCGAATGAGTTAAATAATGTAGTGTCATAATTTGATTCTCTATGAGTAAACTAATACATTTTTATTATGTAAATCACTAAGGCGAGCACATGTTTCATAAGATGACAAACATAGCATTTGTCTATAATTTAATGACATAATATTTTCAGATGAATTGCTACACTGACAAAATATATTAGGGCATCATAACTTGAATTTGAGTTTCACATTTTATATACACGATATGTATCTAGACCCAATAGTTTGTATATAAAGTCATTATAAGACATATTTACCCATATTTTTTAACATAATAGATTTAAAAGACCGAATTAAAAAAATTTCTCACTTTTATGAGACTAACCTGAATTATTTAGTTCCATGCTTCAAATTGAGATATTATGTTAGGGACCAAATTCATACTCGTTTGAATTAAGGGATTTGACAAATGATTTGAAATCTTCTCAAATCTATCTGGTAGTTAAAATTATTTAGGAAGTATTTACATTTGTAAACTACTAATTATTCTAATGTTTAAAATATATTTTAATAATTAATGTATTACAAATCCAAATTCCTATTAAATAGTACTTGAGTATTTCAAAGGACCAAATTGAACTTTTCCAATTTGACTGACTGAATTAAAGTTTTGGAGTTCAAAGGACCAAATTAGTTTACCAACCCCGAATAGCTGTCTTTTATTTTACCAAAGCACAACGACTTTTTGGTATAGATACTAACCCGAATCCCGAACCTCCCGAACCCGATGTGGGACGAAGCCTCCACAAACGGGGGAAGTCCCTTAGCGGCCCAACTGGTAACCCGACCCCCCCCAGAGGCTTTTGTCTTTTTTACCAAAGCACAACGACTTTTTGGTATAGATACTAACCCGAATCCCGTGAGAACCCCAAAAGCCGGTAACTCTTGAGGTCTCACAGGAAACTAATATACTACACCCCAAACCCCCCGAACCCCGATGTGGGACGAAGCCTCCACAAACGGGGGATACTACACCCCCACGAACTAATAATAGCTGTCTTTTATTACTCCACTATTTTGGGTCATGTGGGTCCCTGACACAGCACCCGGGTGTGTAAATGCCACGTTCGCATCGTACATGAATCAATTGTGTCGGCTAGTTACTTTCTACCGCTTTTTCTAGTTTCTGGCGAATGTGTGGTCTTGGACTTATCGATACTTTATCGACTTTGTCATCCGGATGGTAAATCCTTAGCCGAGCTCCCCCGGCCCCTGTAATTCCCACCATCCCCCCTGCTCGCCCACAAGCATACCCCCTCCCCCCGGGCCAAAAGAAACAAAAAGAATTTCAACAACGGGAAAGCTTGGTGGCCTTTTGCTGACAAAGATCTCTAGCATGGGAGAGGGGCAGAAAAAGTTACTAATGTAATTGTTCGTGAAGCATTTCATATCTTTCCAAAAAAGGCTTGTCAAAGCACTTTAACAAGCTACTCATATATAATTACTGTTTATATGGACAAACAGCTTGTACTACATCTTTATTAATAGATAAGACATTGTATTTAACTACCGTTTATGTTAATTCATATAAGATAGTTATGTTAGAGCTACATGGCATGTGTTTGACCCTTGTAATTTAAATTTTACTTTGTTGGTAAATTTGAATTCGTAAATTGATATGAGGTAGCATTAATTGAAGATAAGAGAGAATTAAGGAACAATTCATTTCTTGTCATTTCATCCTTAATTTTGGGGGGTTAATTTTATTTACCTCTCTTGAGGTTTATCCATATTACTAAATAAACCTTATGGTTTGGCCAAATAACCGATACCCCCCTTCATAGTAACTTCTATTAATTGAGCTTGACGGATTTAGTGAAAAGTTGAAATTGCCACTTAAGATGTTCTTAATTTGGGGATAAAAAAAAGGAACAAAAATCTGTTTGCCTAGCTCTGGTGGCAATTTCACCTAAATCCCTACCAAAAATGATAAGATATTATCACTTGGTTGTACATCAACGATGTCAAAAATTCACATGACGGAAAGTTAAAGATTTATAGCTAGTTTGGGAGTTTAGAAAAGAAAAGAAAAGAACATAAACCTTAAGTTAGAAAAGAAAAGAAAAGATTATAATATCTTTTCATGTTATTTGGGAGTTTTGGAGAAGAAAGGAGATGAAATAACTTTCCTTTGTTTGGAAGGGAGAGAATTGAAAAGACAAGATTCAATTTTAGGTAAAAACCCTTAAATCTTAAGATACCATGAGAATTTTATTAGGGGCCTGTTTGGAACCTGAGTTTTTTTGGAGTTTATCTAAAACTTTACTGTAGTGTACTGTAGAAGTTTTTGAAAAATTTTTGTAGAAATTTTTGTAAGGTGAAAAACTTTTTTATAGAAGTTTTTGTAATGTGAAAAATTTTGTAAGATGAATTTTTTTTTCCTTTTCTTTTTTTTCTTTCTTTTTCTCTTTTTCTTTCTTTTTCTCTTTCTTTTTCTTTTTCTTTCTTTCCTCTCTTCTTCTTCTTCTTCTTCCTTCCTTGTTACCTCTACCTCTCACCTCCAGCACCTCCGCCAGCACCACCTCTTTTTTTTTTTTTTTTTTTTTTTCTTTCTCCTCTCCCCCTCCCTCTCCCTCCCCTCTCTCTCACCACCCCCTCCCACTCCCTTCCCCGTTCCTTCCCCTCTTGCCCACACCCCCTTTGGGTTGCCACCCCCCACTCCCTCCCCCGCTACCCTCCTATGCCTACCATCCCTTTCCTCCCCTCTTCCCCGCCACCCCCTCTACCCCTTCCCCCTCTGCCTTGCCACTCCTCTCCCCCACCACCCCTCTTTCCCGCCACCCTCTCTGTCCCTTCCTCCTCCCCTATTCCCCTTTCTGCTTCTCACCTTCTCTCTACCGCTTTCTTTTTTTCACATTTTCCCTCTCCCTCTCCTCCCGTCTTCTCTCCTTGCTCTTGCTAGCAGATGAAGCAGCGAAATGAAATTTTTTTTTTTTGAAATTTTCCTTCTCCCCCTCCTCCCATTCCCCCGCCACCCTCACCCTCCCCCGTGCAATCTAGTCTAGCGACTAGATCAGTCAAAGGGGAAGGGGAAGGGTGGTAGGGGAGACATAGAGAGAGAAAAAAAAAAAGACAGAGGGGAGGATGGCAGGGGAGAAAGAGGGGGAGAGGCAAAAAGGGCAAAAAAAACAGAAGACCGGCACCGGAAGAGGTGATCGGCGTCGAAACCGGCGGTGAAAGTGGTAGGCGGCGACAAAGGTGGTGGTAGGTTGGGGTAGGGAAGGAAGAAAAAGAAGAGAAAGGAAAGGGAATTTTTTTTTTTTTTTGGATATTTTAAGTGTGTAGGTAAAAAATTTTGAGAAATTTTTTGAGATTCCTGTAGTAAAAGTTGTTAAAAAATTAGTAGGTAAAAAACTTGTCCAAAAACCTGGCTTCCAAACAGGTCCTAGGTTATATGATTATATTTTAATCTTTTAAGGGTAAAAATGACATATGATATAATTCATTTAACTCGCTCCACTTTCTCAGGACGTTTTCCGCCGATTTTGGGCAAAAAGTTTTTACATCCTTCCGTTTCTTTTCAAATCTTTCCTATCCAAAGTCCCAAATACGAGAAAGATTCAACTTTCCTTTTATATCTTTTCTTTTCTCACCAAATCTGCTTTTATATCTTTTCTTTTTTCACCAAATCTGCTCTTACTAAGGGACATCATGGGAACTGCATCCAAAATTCAACTTCAATGCAAGGATCCATAGTCCAGACCCTATGATTCCGACTCTAGATTTCAGGTTTGGGGAGAAAGGGAAAAAAAGAAAAAGAAAAAGAAAAAAG